GCCTCAACAGTCCCACCTGTTTCACCTGTCCTCGACTGCCTCATCTGCCATAAGTTTCTCTCCTGTCTCAACTGTCGACTGCCTCATCTGCCATAAGTTTCTCACCTGTCTCAACTGTCGACTGCCTCATCTGCCATAAGTTTCTCACCTGTCTCAACTGTCGACTGCCTCATCTGCCATAGCTGTCTCATTTGTTTCAACCATCCTCAACAGTCTTAGCTGTCTCAAATCTCTCGCCTGTTGGCAGTCACGCCTATCTCAACAGTCGCCCACCTCGTGTGTCTCACATATCTCGAGCATCTCGCATGCCTCAACGGTCTCACCCGTGTCTCAATGATGTCGCGTCGTCTCACGTGTGTTCGTCTCTCCATCCCGCAGTACGCCGGCGCCATCATCGGCAAGGGAGGCGCGCGCATCCGACAGATTCGCGCGCAGTCGCGTGCTCAGATCGAGATCGCCGAAGCCCTGCCCGGCTCCAACGACCGCATCATCACGATCACGGGAGCGCCCGACGCCGTGCAGAACGCACAGTACCTGCTGCAGATGAGGTACGAGATATATGAGCGCCGTATGAGCACGTATCAGATTTGCTCAAAAACGTACGAAATCGGACGCGTGCGCATTGCCCATCTCTGGTGTATTCTTCCTCGAGGCGTATGTATATGGTATGTAATACGCATTTGTGCGTATTATTTTCCATACGGTTGGTGATATGTGCAGCTGATAACTAATTGCATTGTGTACATGCTAGTAACGTGAGAAGAGTAGGCAGCCAGTGCTTTCAACGCTTCAATATATTATATCATCTCACCCGATATTAGGAAATAAGCAAAAGGTGTAGGCAAACTTGCGTGCCTGTATAAAAGAATGATATCAAGTAATGGGGGGGTGGCGTTCCTTTAAGGGCGACTTTTCTGTGAAGAGTTTGATATCTTGAAATTTTACATAACATGGACATAAAAGTCGCTCATCGTTTCTGGCACGCTGCCAGATTGTTTGCTGAGCTTGTCTGTATGGCTGCACATGTACACGCGCGCGCGTTATGCGGTATATTAATTGAAGTCGGGCCAGTTCTTCTATGGCTTGCTGTTATTGAATTTCGTTGATGATATTACACGGCGTATCAACACGTAGGCAATTATTCACGATTGCTAAATGCCGTGTGCTGTGCGGTAGCGTATGCGTACGCAATCGCGGGTCGTCACTGCGAATCGCGAGGAAATTCAGAGGCCTCCACGGGCATTCCACGGTGAAACCTTTTCGATGCTGTGTGTTCTCCCGGACGTAGTCTATCCTCCGGCCGTGTTGCTGCTTCTCCGTGCGTATATGAGAGAGCGAGCAGCACCGCTGCTGAGAGCGGCCTGTATCGAGCCCAGGTTTTTTTTGCAATCGAAATCCTTATTTCGTCTCCGCTGTAACTTTTTCTTCCTTTTTTTCTCCTGTTTTTGTTTCTCCTGTTTTCCCGTTATTGTCGTCGCCATGGTTGCGATGGCGTGCGTGCGTGCGGGCTGCCGGCTCGATTCATTAAGGAGAGTGATTAAATGTTAAACGACGCACGGCGAATCACACCGCCAGGTGCGGATGCTGCGCGTGTGCGTGCGCGAACATCGCTAGTGCTGCTGCTGCTGCTGCTGCTGCTGCTGCTGCTGCTGTTGCTGCTGCTGCTGCTGCTGCTGCTGTTGTTGCTGCTGCTGCTGTTGTTGCTGCTGCTGCTGTTGTTGCTGCTGCTGCTGCTGTTGCTGCT